GGGGGGGGGGGGGGGGGGGCTGGGCATTGAGGCCCAGGGGACAACTGGGGAGCAGGCCCCGGGGGACACCTGGGGAACTGGGTTGGGGGTAGCTGGAGGGGGGAAGTGGGGAGCTGGTGTAGGGGGATCTTGGGGCCTGTTGGGAGTATCCAGGGGGGACTGGGAAGGCAGCTAGGGGGATCTGGGGGGATTAGGAGGGCACCTGGGGCTGATTGTGGGAGGTTCTGGGGTGCAGGGAGATCTGGGTGGGTTGTCTGGGGGAACAGTTGGGGGGGCTGGTGGGGGAGAGCTGTGGTGGAGTGGTTAGGGGCAACTGGGGGGTGATTGGGGAGATCGGGGGTGCTGGTGTGTGGGGGGCTGGGGAGGATCTGGGAGGACAATTGGGAGACTGGCTGCGGGGGGCGGGTCCAGGGAGACTGGGAGGGCAACTGGGACTGATTGTGGGAGATGCTGGGGGGATTGGGGGGGGGCTGGGGGATCTGGTGGGAGTGTCTGGGCAGGATCTGGGATGGCAACTGGGGGGCTGGCGTGGGGGTATCTGTGGGCTCATCTGGGGCAATGGAACAGGGACTCGGGGGAGGTAAAAAAGCACCCGAGGGCGGGGAACAGGGGATTAAAGAGGTAGCCAAGGTACAGGGGGATCTGGGGGGCTGGCACCCCAGGGCAGGTGGAGGTAGGAGGGGAGATAGTCAAGGGGGTTCTGGGGGTGACTGGCCCCTTGGAGCAGTCTTGGGGGGTGTCTGGGGTTTGGGGCCAGTGGAGACCTGAAGGCATTTAAGTGGGGGAGGTATCTGAGGGGGATGAGGCTGTGGGGTAGGAGTAGGGGGGGACACTGATCCCCATAGAACTGGGATGAGGAGAGCCATGGGGGCATGAAGGACTGGGGCCTTGGACAAGAACTGGGGGGCAACAGGGAGGCTGGGGGTAGCTGGGAGGGGGTGTGTGTCATTATGTTGGCTCTGAGTGTCTTTGGCTGCGTGGTGAATGAGTGTGTGTTGGGGATGCCGGGGGTTGGGGGGGTTACCTGCTGCCTCTAAGTTCTGGGGGACCCTGGGGTGAACAGGTTGAAAAGGGGCCTGCCACCCCAAATCTATTCTGGAAATGGGCGTTTAACCCTCCCCTCCCTGCCAGCGGCTGCTTGGAGCCAATCAAGGGAGCCTGGTGCGTTCGCAGGCAGGCGATGTCCAGGTCTTTGATTGGAGCAAAGATCCGACAGACCAGGTCAAAGCCAGTTGACCCACCACAAAGCGGGTTGTTTCTGGGCTAAGGGGGAAGGGAACTGACCATGAAATGTACTTGTAACTTCCCTGCCTCGGAGGGTGGTGAAAGCCTCGTCCCGCAACCCCCTGGGAGGTAGATCAGGATCATCCCCCTTTGTCAGACGGGGAAACTGAGTCACGGATCGGCAAGGGACTTGGGAGGCCATCAGGGCTAGAATCCCGGAGTTCTGACTCCCGGTCTGCCCCGCTCCAATCCATTAGCCCTCGCTCCCCTCCCAGAGCTGGGGAGAGAACCCAGGAATCCGGGATCCCAGCCCCCACTGCTCTAATCACCAGCCCCCACTCCCCTCCCAGAGCCGAGGAGAGAACCCAGGAGTCCTGGCTCCCAGACCCCCCTGTTCTAACCCACTAGCTCCCAGTCCCAGAGCCAGGGAGAGAACCCAGGAGTCCTGGCTCCCAGCCCCGCACTCTAACCCACCAGCCCCCACTCCCTTCCCAGAGCCAGGGATGGAACCCAGGAGTCCTGGCTCCCAGCCCCCCCGCCCCCAACCACTAGCCCCTCTGTCCCTGCAGGTAAACACGTAGAAATGAAGTGTACCAACCCCCTCGTCTCTGTCAAATTCTGCCAGGTTTAAAGGGGCAAGAAGACCCGGGTGGAAGATCCCGGCGGGGATCAGAGCGAAAGGAACCTTTGAAAGGATCTGGACTCCAGGGCATCTGGATCCAGCTCATTTGCCTCCCTTTGGGATCTTGGGAAAACGGCTTTGCTGCGCCTCAGTTTCCCCATCTTGAAACTGGGGATAAATGCTCCCCGTCGGTTAGATCGGAAGTTCCTCGGGGCAGGGACTGGCGAAGGACCCCTGATCTCGGGCGGGGGAAGCTGAGTGTGGCGCCGGGAATACTGGAGGGGCCCCCAGATCTTAGTCAGGGTGGCCCCGATCTCAGTGGTTAGCGTTTTGGCCTAGGACCGACGAGGCTGAATTTCAAGCCTTTAGGGAAACCGAGGCCTAGAGAGTCTGTCTGTGAAATAGGCAACCTACCTCAGATCGGGAGGCCCTCAGACCCCAGGGTGATGGGCTCCGGTCAGTTTCTTGTGGATTTATGGGACAGCGGAATAACCCCTAGTGTGTTTCGGCGGTAGATGTCAAGGCGCTTTCCAAAGGCGGGCGGGATTGTTAGGGATGGGGAAACTGAGACACGGAGCGGGGACAGACCCAAGATCACCCAGCGTGCTGAGAACAGAACCCAGGCATCCTGTCACCCCCCCCCCCCCCCCCCCCCGGCCACGCTGTCTCTTAGCCTAGCTGTGCTGTGTTGCTTGTGTGGTGTCTGCGGTGTTACGGGGGTGAGATTCTGTCTGTGTTTCTCTGCCGACTGCGGGGTCAGCGCCCGGCTCAGTGGGGCCCTGAGTTCTTCCTGGGGGTGGGGAATGGGGCGCCGGGTCTTTCTCCTCCAGGTGGCGCTGGCTGCAACCCAGCCCACGTGGCCAATCAAATTCACTACCGCATAGACTTCGGGGCTAAACTCCCGTGTCCCTCTGGCCTCTGCCATGGGCCATTGGGCGGCTCTCGGTTCCCAGTGTTGGGCTGATGGGACCCAGGCGTCCTGGCTCCATCTGTGCAGGTGGGGTTAGGTCAGGTTGGGACCCGGGTGTCCTGGTGCCCTCTAGGGGTGGGTGGGGAGTTGGGACCCAGGCGTCCTGGCGCCGTCTGGGGGTGTGTGTGATGGGATGGGGTCCTGGCGCCGTCTGGGGTGTGTGTGATGGGATGGGACCCAGGCGTCCTGGTGCCATCTGGGGTGGAGTGAGGTAAGAAGGGGACCCAGGCGTCCGGGCTCCGTCCCCGGGGCGGGGAGCTGGGACCCAGGCGTCCGGGCTCCGTCCCC